TTGATCTTGATCAAAAGCCTCAGCACGTCTACAACATTGGCCTCGGCGTGAGCCCGGGGGCCCCACAGGAACTCGTAGCGGGGGGGATCACTGCCAGCCACCTGCCGGTACTCCAGGTACTGCTCCCGCACCCACACGTCGGTGAGGAGCTCCCTGGGCTCCCCAAAAATGAAATGTTTGCTCCCCGCATACACCCCCATCCCATTCAGAGCTTTCCATACGTGCTCCTCGGAGGCGCAGTCGCCATCCAGCAGGACCACACCCAGGACATACACCAGCAGGCCCGTCTTGGGCATGGTCTCCTCGGGGCTCAGCAGCCCATTGTGGGTAAGGCCCAGCGTGGTGTTCAGAACGTAGGTGTGGCCTCTGGGCTCTGCTTTGGTCACGTCTATGCCGAAGACCACCTGCATGCACTCGCAGGCTTGACTGAAGACCTCAGGGAAGTGCCCCTGGTCGTTTGGAAGGACTTCTCTCAGCATCTCTGCCCGGCTGGTCTGCTCTTTGGCACGGTATTTGAGGAGCAAGAACCACACCAGGTCTGCCATCTTCCCATGCAGCTCTGCTTGGGGTGGGGCCTGGGCTTCTGCTGCCTCTTGGGAAGTGCTGGGTTGCTCTGCTCCCTGGCTGCTGGCACTCATCTCCTGGCACGGGCTGTTCAGAGGTGCAGCCAGCACTCTGGGGGAGGAGCTGACCACAGCAGGGCACTGTGGAGCCCCGGGGGTGCCAGGAGCAGCTTCCTCCTGGTTTCCTCCCACAAGGACAGAGGGGCAGGGATTGGTGGGGGGAGAGGCGGGTGGTGTCACCTGCTCCAACATTTCACCCCAGGGCAGCTTCAGGAGAGGGTCATCCTGCAGGCTCTCAGCCTCTCCTGGTTCCTGAGCTTCTTCCTCGAGCTCCAGCAGCTCACTCTCCTGATGCTGAGACATGGCTGCACCTGGGGGGCATTGGCAGGACTGAGCAGGAGGCGGGAGGCATGTGGGGGGCATCAGCTGAGAACCAACCTTGTGGCCCCGCAATGGTGATTTACTGGCTCCCATTTGGGGTACTGCTGGGCCTCAGAGATGACCCCAACTACCTGAAGGAGGAGTGAGATGGCTGCTCAGAGCTGACACGGGTGGGTCATGAAGTGTGGGGTCCCCTCTGCTCTGGGTTCACAGGTTCCCTTTGTACTCCCTGTGGCCACACCTGCCCAGGGCCTCAGGGTCCTGCGTGGGAAGAATGCTGGGCCTCTCCAGGAGCCCTGCCAGGGCTGACCAGACCCTCGGACCAAGGCCCTCCCCTCCTGACCTGGGCCTGGCCCGAGAGCCCTGCCGGATTGTCCTGGCTGACAGGAGGGGTAGCCCAGGCTTCCCTGAGCCTCTTTGTTCTGGGCATTGAGATTCCCTGGGTCCTCACTCACCTGGACTCTCGGCAGGACCTGGGACTCCTATCTCAGGTGACAAGAAGTAGCTCCCCTGATGACCTGGTGGTGTCCTCTCAGACAAGATAATCTCCCTGAAATCACAAAAGGAAGATGAAGAGGCCCATTCCACACCCCCACTCCCCACAGTGACCAGAATACACTATCAGCTGTAGCCCCTCTGTCTTGGGGTGGGTTAGCTCTCCTCATTCCAACCAGGTCTGCCCCGCCTACCCCATCCATGATAACTTGATACCCCCCTCAGCAAGACCTCACTCCCTGTGGCTTCCCCCCTTCCCGCCATGGTCCACAGGAACCTGCACTTGGGCCACTACTGACTGGGTCCTTCCTGGCTGAGACAGGGCACAAGGGGACTCCGTGCTCCCCTCTTTGGGGCAGGCGGGGCCTTCCACTGCACCATCGGGCTGTCCTCCCTAGGGGCCTGCTTTCCTCCCTCTGCCTAGCTGAGGCCACATTCCACCCACCAGGGCCCCCTGACGACACTCCCGCCCCAGACCCCAACCCTCCTTGATTTTCAGGGGGGGGTTCAGAAGCCCCATCGTGGAGTGGCTCCAGGGCCTCCAGGCGCTGACACTGTTCTGGGGTCCTCCCTGGGGTCCTCACCTTGATTCAGGAAGGACCTGACCTAACCCTCCTTAGCTGGCCATTGTCTGTCCCCAGATGCGGAAGTCAGGATGCCATGTTGCCTCACCTCCCCCCACTCCCCAGGTCTGACAGCATTGCCGGTTTGTGGGGTTCCCTCAGAAACAGGGTTCAGAGTACCTCAGTCCTCCCACAGGATCCTCACCTTTACAGTCGTGAAGTCTATGCCCACCCCCCTAGCTGACCTGAATCTTCGCTTCTTACGCTACGTCCAGATCTCACAGGGACCCAGATACGAAGTCAGGACGCCATGTTGTCTCACCTCCCCCCACCTCCAGGTCTGACAGCATTGCCGGTTTGTGGGGTTCCCTCAGAACTAGGGTTCAGAGCCCATAAGTACTCCCGCAGGATCCTCACCTTTACTCTCGTGAAATCTGTGCCCCCCAACCTCTTGCTGACCTGAATCTTTGCTTCTTACGCTATATCCAGATCTTACGCAGCTCCTGATGCGGAAGTCAGGGCGCCATGTTGTCTCACCTCCCCCCACCTCCAGGTCTGATAGCATTGCCGGTTTGTGGGGTTCCCTCAGAACTAGGGTTCAGAGTCCCTAAGTCCTCCCGCAGGATCCTCACCTTTACTCTCATGAAATCTGTGCCCCCCACCCCTTGCTGACCTGAATCTTTGCTTCTTACGCTACATCCAGACCTTACACAGCTCTACATCCAGATCTTACGCAGCTCTGGATGCGGAAGTCAGGGCGCCATGTTGTCTCACCTCCCCCCATCCCCAGGTCTGATAGTGTTGCCGGTTCTTGGGGTTCCCTCAGAACTAGGGTTCAGAGTCCCTCAGTCCTCCCGCAGGATCCTCACCTTTACTCTCGTGACTATCTTGCCACCGCCCCCCACTTCCCCGCCCTCCCGCCCTGAATCCTTGCTTCTTACGCTACGTCCAGCTCTCACGCAGACCGGAATGCGGAAGTGAGGAAACATGGCCTCGGTCCTCCCTCTCCGGGGCCACCAGCGATGACGGCAGGGGGCGCCTGTGCAGGTTCCCGCTTTCCTGGAGCCCACTGCCCCGCCTTTCTCCCCGAGGGTCCCCATCTTGACCAACAGCGAGGTCTCGGCCCTCCCCTCTGCCGACTCAAGTTTGCTTGCGTCACACCATGTGCCTGAATCCGCGACCCTGTGTATGTGGGGCCTGGGTTGCCAGGACGGTGCCCAGCTTGACCACGCAGCCTGTGGTCTCAGTCCTGAGGCAGGTGCCAGACTGGATTTCAACCGTCTATTCTCCTTCCGGACCTTATCTTGACACATTCAAGATAGCATCCAACTGATCCTGCACTGCTCAGACCAAGTCTCTTACTTCCCGAGTGCCTCAACAGACAGCTGGGAGGTCCTCCTGAAAATCCTGCCAGGGTCCCTCCTGGATTTCATGGGGGTTGGAGAGGGCATCTGTGGGTCCCCTCAGGCTTCCCTCAAATGCTAACCATGACTAAGGCAGGATCGTCCACTGCTCAGACAAAGACCCTCATTTCAAACCTCTGAGCGGAAGTCAGTAGATGTCACATCCACCCATAGCATTTGGGGTCCCTCCCTAGGCTTTCCAGAGAGGCAGAGTTGAATCTCACAGGCTCTCCCTATCCCCCTTGTTCCTCACCTTCACAAACAGGGCTGAGTGGGCTCTAAGAATTAGGCTCTGAGTCCTCGAGATTGCTGACCACTCTGCCTGGGGCCCCTCATGCTTTTTATCAGAATGCTGTTGGGTTCTGTGGATGCCCGGAGACCATACAGTCCCCAGTCCTCAATCCCCAACCTTCCTCCTCAGAGAGCAGCTGAGTTCCAGGACAGGTGCTGGGTAGGGAGCTGCCGTGCCCCGGATGGTGGGCACAGCCAGTGCAGGAGCCCAGAGGCTCCTCACCAGTAGACTCCCCAACATGGACACCTAGTGTCCTCACAGTGATGATCACTGAGGAGCTGAGCAGTGGGGCTGCACTGGGGAGGCTGCGCTTCTGAGGGGACCAGCTAGGGCAGTGGGGTTTGCTCTTGAGCCTCCATCCATGAGGAGAAGTGTCTTCCACAGCTCCACCTGCTGTGTGCTTAGGGTGCAGGTGGAGACGCCGCACCCCATCTCTGCAATATTGCTGTAAATCCAAAACTTCCCCAAAATTAAAGTTCGTTTTAAACAGACTGCAAAAAAATGCAGAGATGGGGAGAAATAGTGACCTGCCCCAAATGAATAAAGAAATTTGACAAAAATGTGAAAACATATAATTAAAAATTAGGTCAGCAATTTGAAGATAATTCACCAAAGAGGAATTGCTGTCACAAAGAAGTCTTATTAGCATCACTTTTCTAAAGAAAAGTGCAAATGTAAACGTAAAATGCACAAGTCTGCACTGCACATCGCCAGGAACCGGCTTGTGCAGGGGTGGGGCGGACTCCTCCCCGCAGGAAGAGCTGCCCCACGGAGCAGAGCCGAGACCAAGCACAGAGGCCACACGCACGCGTTGCTTCAGCAGACAACGGCTGTTTCCAGCACTTTTTATTGCCAGCGGCCCCCCTCACGCGGGGCGATCAGCACCGTCCGCGGGCCCGTCGGAAGGTGGGCGGTATGCGGGGAAACAACAGGGGTCCCAGCAGAGTGGACTCGGCGGATAAGGGACCACAGGCCTGGGGGCGGCAGGCCAAGCAGACATGATGGGCATGGAGCCCAGGGGGTGGCACCAAGTCAGCACGCTGGCCGTGGACAGCTGCGGGGTGGTCACCCCGAGGCCTCTGGAAGGTCCGCCCGCCAGGCTCGCCCCGGGCCAGTAAGGGTCGCTGCGGGGGTAGGGCGTGGTGAAGGGGACCAAGGGGCTCAGGTACGGAGGGGCGTCCTGTGCCCTGCGCGGGCCGGGGGGCCACAGGCCCACGGCAGCGATGGGACTGAAAGCGGGCTCGACCGGCCTCCCGGCAGC